CCCCCCCCCCCCCCCAGCATGCGAGGGCGGCATATACACCACCCTCGCGTACCCCCCACCCCCACACACATACACGCCCCCCCGGTCCCCCGGCCGCCCAACAGCAGTGGGCACACGCTCACACTGGGGACCGGGCCGCCGCCCGCGCCCCAAGGTCCGCACCCCATCTCGCCGCCGCCGCCGCCGCCGTCCAACAAGCCGCGACCTTCGCGGGGCCCGGGGCTCTCCGCGGGACATCCGCCTGGGGTCGCCTCTTCCCCTGGCCGACGGGGAGGGCTTTTCGGTTGGCGCCCGGCTCCAGCCCATGTACCCCACCATGCCCCGCTCCTGCAACCCTCCCTCCCCCCCCCCTCCCCTCTTGCCTGCCACTGCCCGTGTGTGTCCCCCGCCCCCTTCGCCCCTCTCCTCCCCTCTCCTGCCCTCTCCTCTCGCCTGTCTCCCCTCCCCTCTCCTGCGCTGCTCTCTGGACAGAGGATGTCCTTCTTCAGCGAGCTCTTCGGGCTCGGTGGCGGCGACGCCGCGGCCCCCGCCGCTGCCGCTTCGCCGGAGCCCCCCCGCGCGCGGGCCCCCAGCACCGGGGCCGGCGCCGGGGCCGGGATCGTGCACCCCTGCTCCCGGCACCCGGACCGCTTCAACCAGGGCTGGTGCCTGTGCTCCCTGCCGGAGGAGCTTTTCTCCCCGCGCCAGGACGGCCCCTCGTCCAAGACCACCGGCGCGGCCGGCCACCAGGATGACTCCCTGCCGCGGGGGCTCTTCAAGGCCAATGACCTGGGCCTGCCGGATGACCATGCGGAGCTGTCGCGCTGGTCGCTCCCCTACCAGCCGGACTTGATGCTGATCATGCAACAGCGCTCGGCGGCCCTGGCCCGGGCCCAGCAGGAGGATCCCAATGGCGATCTCCTGCAGCTGCTTGACGACGCGGACTTCGACTCGGCCGCCGGGCCGGACATCTACCGCGTGTCCGAGGAGTCGGTCCGGGTGGAAACCTACCTCTCCATGCTGGAGGCCAATGAGCAGGGCGGGTCGCATGAGCTGCCGGCCGGCTCGGCAGCCGCCGACACTTCGCGCCTGGCCGCCGCCATTCAGACCAAGCGCCAGCAACGCCGCAAGGCCGCCCGCGACCAGGCCTTCGTCACGCGACTCGAGGAGAGCGCCCTCAGCCGCAGCACCATCCCCGGCAGTCCGACCGCCGGCTCGGCCGCGCCCGCCCCCGCCCCCGCGCCGCCGAAGATGATCATGGCCCCGGTCGACCGGAACCGCCTGGGCATGCCGCAGTTCCATGTGGACATCTTCCGCTCGGAGCTCATCTTCCCCGAGCTCCAGCGCAAGGGCGGCCTCTTCTCCACCGTCACCCCGGTCAGCGCCGAGCCCGCCCGGCCGTCTCTCTACGCCGACAACGCGCCCACCACCGTGCAGCTGATCATCCGGTCCTTCCACAATGACCATCTCCTCTTCGATGCCAGCCTCAATGAGGGGGACCCGGCGCTCGGTGCGGCCGGCGTGCGCGCATCCGCCGCCAGTGCTCCGGCTGCTGCCTCGGCCGGGGCTGCCGCCACGGCCGGGACCGCCCCGGGGGCCGCCGCTGCCAGCGCCTCCGCCGCCGCCGCCGCCCCCGCCCCCACCACCACCACCACCGCCGCCACGACCGATCCCGCTGCCCAGGTCGCCGACAAGCCTCTCCTCACGCGCCAGGTGAAGTATGTCCTGGACATCCCGGTGGTTGTTATCTCGGTGCGATGCTTGCTCTTTTGCCACATTCCCCCTCGGCTGCGGTGTGCAGCTTCTCTCGACTCACACCCCTTCCTGGGCATCTGCTCCGCCCTTTCCCCGTCCCCGTCCCCGCTCCCGCCCCCGCCCCCGCCCCCGCCCCTGATCCCATCTGCGCGACGTCCACCGCACAGCGCATTCCCGCCCTCAAGGCCCATCTGCTCCATGTGCCGGAGGGGGCCACCGAGGCGGTCCCCATCGCGCGGTCCTTCGTCCTGGAGGTCCCGCGTGCGTCCACCGCCGAGGCTCTGTCTCGCCTGCTGGACCTGGTGGCCTCGGTGCACTTCATTCTGGCTGGCTGGAAGTCCGGCAAGACGCCGGCCTCCTCGGCCGGTGACCCGGCCCCCGGGACGCGCCCCCGGTCGACCACCCTCTCCTCGGTGGCTTCGCCCGTCAACAGCCTCATGCTGACCGCCCTGCCGATCGAGCTGCTGCTGTCACACACGGCCGAGTCGCAGGCCTTCCTCAACCGGATTTGGTATAGCCAGAAGTTCGCGGCCACCCGGGCCGCCGCCGCTGCCGCTGCCACCGGGCAGAAGCCCCCGGCCGAGGGGGCTGCCATGGCCTCGCGGCCCCGGCCCACCCCCCGGGAGATCACCGACCTTTCGCTCCTGCTGCTGGCGCAGACGGCGCGCGACATGACCGCCCTGCTGTCGAGCGTGGCCCCGGCCCAGCTGCCGGCCCACATGGCCACCAACAGCGCGGCTGGCCCGGCCCCCCCGGCCTCCGGGTCGATATTCTCCTCGGAAGCCCGCGTCGGCCTGCTGAACACCGTGGCCGAGTGGCACCGCCAGCGGAACCTCCTGCTGGAGCTCTTTGCCCTGTGCCATCTGCTCGGCCTGGGCGGCTTCCTGCCGATCATCACCCGCACGATCAACGTCCTGATGCGCGACGATTCGGATCTCGGTGTGCCTGTTGCCTACCTGGCCGCGCGGTGCGTTCTCGGCCCTCTCCTTCCGCCCCTCTTCTTGTCTCCTGCCTCGCCTCGCCTCGCCTCGCCTCGCCTCCCGCAGCACCCTCACCCGGACAACCGTCACCCCTCCCTACACACGCGCACACACACACACACACACACACTCTTCCCCATCACAGCCACAACGACGAGACTCTCCTGTCCATGGCCCATGGATGGGTTCTCCGGTCGCTCTTGGACCCCGGCCGCCTGCAGAGCGCCCTCAATGTCCTGCACAATGAGTCCTTCAACCCCAACCCCAACACCAACCTCTCGGTGGATCTCTTTAAGCCGGCCGGCTCTGAGTCGGCCGTGCGCCTGATCGATTCCGGCTCCCGGCTGTCCTATCGGCGCTTCGTCATCCCGCTCTACGTCTTCCAGGGGCTGCTCCCCCGCCGGGCCTGGTACAACCTCACCCGCATGCCGCCATCTGACCGGACGGTCTGCCGGCTGGTGCGCGACCTCCGGCCCATCACCACCGGGGCCATCCCCGGGTCCGTGGGCCTCGCCTCGGCCGACTCCCAGGACTCCATCACCTCCGGTGCCATTGTCGCCACGTACACCCTCTATGAGATGCCCTCGCATCGGGCCCTGCTGTCAGCTCGCTTCGATCCCAACACCAGCGAGTATGTCATTTGCGCCGGGCGCGAGGTCATTCGCCATGGTCCCTCCTACGTCGGTGGTCTACGGTGCGCCTCCCTTGGCCGTCCCCCTTTCATAGACACCCCCCTGTCGGCTCCTGCCCTGTCGCCACGGGCTTCCCCTCTCCCCCCCTCCCGCCCCCCACCACAACGCGTAACTGACTCCCGACCACGGGGCATCGCTGTTGTTGCCCTCCCCCACCCCACTTGCCCGCTGTGCCAACGCAGGTACAACCTTGCTGGCACCGTCTTCACGGTATTCAACCACGGTACGGCCACCTGCCTGACCATGCCGGCCGTGGTGGAAAACATTAGTCCCCCACGCAGCGAGCAGGCCATCATCACGTACGACCTGAACTTCTGGGGCCTTGAGCCGCGCTCCTTCCATGTGGCCCTGCCGAAGCAGGTCCGCGACCTGTCCTCGGCCCCGCCGCTTGAGGAGCAGATCGCCCACCAGGAGGCCGCCAGTGATTTCTACCAGATCCAGAACAAGTCGCCAAAGTGGAACGAAGGTGCGTGCACTGTGCTTCCTCCTCACCCGCGGCCGCCTCCCTTCGGGGGCTCCCGCTGGCGTACATCATCAAAGGACGCCTGTCCATTGCCTGGGGGCCGTGTTGTTTTGCTTTTCCCGGGAGCAGGGCGCGGGGAGGGCCCATTGCCCGCCCTTCCTCAGGCTCTAACCTCCTTCTTTTTCCTGCCCCCCTTTGGCCGACCTCCCATGTACACACACACACGCACACACACAGAGCGTGCCACTTTCACCCTGGACTTCCGTGGCAACGTCCGCTGTGCCAGCAAGAAGAACTTCATTCTTGAGCTGCCCGCGGCCGATGCCGATTCTCGTGCGTGTGATATCTCCCCCTGCCGTGGGAACCTTGTTTGCATTCGCTTTTCTCCTTCATTTTGTGCATCCGCCACTGCGCTCCTCGAACCCCATCCCTCGTTCTCTCTCTCTCTCTCTCTCTCCCTCTCTCCCTCTGCTTCCCCCACCCCTCTAACATGACGACTTCCCGGCATGCAACCAGAACCCACCGAGGTGATGATGATGGGCAAGCTCGAGCGTAACCACTTCTACGTGCACTTCAATGCTCCGCTCACTCCGCTGGCGACGTTCGGCATCATCCTCAGTAGCTTCCACCGCAAGCTCATGGTCAAGTAGACGCCCCTCATCCTCCACCCCCCGTGTCCACCTCCTTTCCCTGGCCCCACATGCGCCGCCAGCACCACGCCACCCGCACCATCCTCCACTCCATATGAACATCCAAATGGCCACTTTCCCCCTCATGTCTGTCCTTGTCAACACCGCCGATGAAATATATACAAATGCATACAAACCCACATACATCTTGAAACATGGCCAAGAGCACCCCGAGAATGAGGGGACGGGGGGGAAGAAGGGCGAGCTGGGCAAGAAGCATGCCCCCCGGTACGTGCATGCTAAATGTGTGTGTGTACACATAGGCGCGGATGCTGGGGGGAGGGCGGGGGGGGGAGGGAGGGGGAGGGGGAACAAGAGCTGCGCACCGGGCTCCGATGCACAACCAAGCGAGCGGGGTGCGGAGGAGAGGCGCAGGCAAGGCCCGGCAGAATATATGAAAAGAGAGGGGCTGTTTCCCTTTAGGTGGACTTCTCGATCGCATCCTTGATCGCCTTGGCGAGGCCGGTGGCATCCTTGTCGTTGAGGGTGCGCAGCAGGTAGCGAATGGGGGCCGGCTTGCCGTCGTCACCGACCTTGAAGGTGACAAAGTCCACCGACTTGCCCGAAAGGGTGGCCGAGGACTCCTTGAGAACGGCAGCATTCAGCAGCAGCTTGCCAGAGCCCTCCATTCGGGCGACCAGGCGGTACTTGCCATTGGCGCGGTGCTTGTTCAGCTTCAGGAAGCCGATGCCCTGATCGACCCAGGCCTTGTTGGCCAGCTCGAGCAGCTTGAAGCGCTCGACCTCGAAGACGGCATCCTCGTCCTCCTCGCCGGCGCCGGTCTTGATGAGCTCCTCATTGGTGCGCGTGCACTCGGGCAGCGGGGCATCGTCATCCTCCTCGTCCTGGGCAGCAGCAGCGGCAGCGCCGGTGGCACCGGCCGCGCCGAAGGTCGGCGGAGTGAAGGTGAAGGCCGAGCTACCACCAGCACCGAAGGAACCGCCCGCGCCGCCTGAGAGGGGGGTGAAGTTGAAGCCACTGGCCGAGCCACCGGCCGGGGCGGGCGGGCTGAAGGTGAAGGTGCTGGACGAGAGGGACGGCTGCTTGGCGTCACCACCGGCCGGGGCCGGGGGGTTGAAGGTGAAGGCACTGCTGGCCCCGGAGCCGAAGGCCGGCGCGGCACCCTTGGCCCCGGGGGCGCTGCTGGTGGCGGTGCTCAGCGCGCCGAAGGTGGTGGCGCCAGAACCAAACTGGAAGCCACCGCTGTGCGGCGCATCACCGGACGCCTTGAACACGAACTTCGAGTCCTTCGGGGCCGGCCCGTCATCCTCATCCTCATCGGCATCCTCATCATTGGACCCGGACCCGGACCCGGACTCGGACCCGGACTCGGACTCGGAACCCGAGCCATCATCACCCTCCTCGGCCTCGTCAATGTAATCGGCATCCTCCTCGTCGTCGTCGTCGTCGTCATCGTCGTGACCACCATCGCTGCTGTCCTGCATCTTGGAAGAGGGGGCCCCCGCACCAAAGCCGAAGCCACCGGCAGTCGACTTGGTGGCAGTGAAGCTGAAGCCGCCCGACAGCGGCTTGGTGGCATCAAGGCTGGACCCACCGGAGACGGGCTTGGTCATGCCAAACCCGAGGCCCTCGGAGGCCGGCTTGGCCGCGCCGAAGCTGAAACCGCTCGAGGTGGGCTTGGAAGCGGCGCCGGCATCGCCGGCGGCCGAGGAGGCGGACCCGGACCCGGACCCGGACCCGGAGGGCATACGAGCAAGCATTTCCCGACGGTAGGTGCTATACCGATCGGCGAAGAAGGTCAGATCGACAAAGGGATCATTGCTGATGGCCTTATTAAGGGTGGCCATGGCGCTCTTGTTGAGGGCGCTCAGCTCAGAGAGGATGCTCTCGACAGACGTGCTGGAAGTGGACCCGGCAGCGGGGCTGGCCATGGTGGACGGAGTGGCCAACCCGAAAGAGAGGCCGGTAGCGGTAGAGCCAAAACCGGAGCCGGAGCCGGAGCCGGAGCCGGAGCCAGTAGCAGAGGCAGCCGCAGGGCCACCAGTGCTGGGCTTGCTGAAGGAGAAGCCGCCGCCGAAGCCAGCCGCTGGGGAAGGGGCGCTGCGCTTGGAGGGCGGCGGTGCGGTGCTCAGAGACGACTGCGAGCCGAAGCTGGACCCGCCAGCCGGAGCCGGCGTCGGGGTTGACAGATTCTTAAAAGGGTTGTTCTTCTGGATGCGCTCCTGGACGAGGCAACGGGCATGGCAATTAGCGAGGGAGGCAGGGAGACCGAGGGGAATGCCCCATGAAGGGGCATCATGGAAGGGGCGACAATGAGCGAGATGAGGAGGAAGGCGCATGGATGGATGTGTGCGTGTGTGCGTATGTGCGTGTGTGCTGTCTGTGGACAGGGCGGCCGTACCCCAAAATCGGACTCCTTCACCCGGCGGGCGGCCTTGAGGATTACGCGGCTGGCGCCGGTGTTCTGTGGCAGGCAATATGACATCGGAAGAAGAGGGAGGAAAAGGAGTGAGTGGTTGCCGTGGGGAGAGACCGGGGGAAAAGGCGGAGATAGCGGAAAACCGGACGCACACCACGGGGGGCGGTGCTTGAGGGGACATCGACCGAGTCATCGTCGGCCGAGTACGGGTTGAGCTGGCTGCCAGCCTGACGCTTGGACATTGCTGCAGCGGGTGCGGTGGGGGAGAGAGAGGGGGAGAGAGAGAGGGAGGGAGGGAGAAAGGAAGGGAGAGGTTTAAAGGTGCAAGGGGCAGTAGATGCGGTGTGCCCATCCCCGGGGGCGGCTGGACTCCACGCCTGACTGTCTTTTAGACACCCCTCAGGTGTCGGCGGCCCCGCACGGTGCAGAGGGGCATGTGTGCTGGCGCGCGTGCGCGTGTGAGCGGGCAAGGGCCCAGGGGAGCAAGGGTGTATGTGCCCACGCCGCGGTGCGCGTGCACCTCCGGCCGAGACCCTCGGACAGGGGCGCAGGAACCTCGGGACGGAGACCGCCTCGTCAGGGAAAACAGCGCGCAGGGACCAGCCAGGGAGCCGGACCGACCAGGGCAGAGTAGAACCGACCAAATGAAGGGGACAGAACGAGGGAGGGGGGGGGGGGCACTCAACAGCCATCTAACCGCAACCAACGTGGCGGGCGCGCGGGAAGCTGAAACGGACGCTGACCAATCCCCAAGTGCCAACGCAATGGAGAATGTTATTCGCGACTCTCGGCGGGAGCGGCCGCCGCGGGAGGCAGGAGGGGAGGGGGGCATGCGTGACGGATTTGGGTGTATTGCTCAAAAGATTGTGGGGACGGCAAGGCCGATTGAAAAAGAGGGCACACAAAAGGCACGGGGCCTTGGGCAGAGAGAGAGAGAGAGGGAGGGAGAGAGAAAGAGAGAGAGGGAGAGAGCGGGAGGGAGAGGGGGAGGAAAAAAAAGGGCCCCGCCTCAGGTCCTGAATTGCCTTTCCTTCGCGCAGGCTGGCATCTCCAGGCTTGTCTAGATGAGGGTGGGCCGGGGAGCTGACCCATGGATGGGAGAAGAACCACAGGGCAAACCTGGCGGAGGAGCGGGCCACAGGAGGATGCATTCACAACAATCGGGACCTGCCCTCGATGCACCGCCGATCGGGGCCTGCTACTGCTGGTCTTTGTTGAACCTCTTGTCATTGCGCTTGGACCGGTCATCCTCCTGGTGGTTCGACTGGCGCTCGGGAGATTGGGACGAGTGGTAGCGGCGCGGGCCATGATGCCTGCGCTGCTGCGAGTCATGTCGCTGGCCCTTATGGTCGACCCATTTCTCGTTGGAGTTCGAGCGGTGGCGCTGTTGCTGGTCGCGCTCCTCCCGGTGCCGCTGGATCCGCTCAACGCGCTTCTGATGCCGATACTGGGACACCGACATGCCGGAGTCCACGCCAAAGAAGGTGCCATCCACATCCGGCGCATGGGTAGGATGCACCACACGTGTGCTCTTCCGATCTGAGTCATGTCGCTGGCCCTTATGGTCGACCCATTTCTCGTTGGAGTTCGAGCGGTGGCGCTGTTGCTGGTCGCGCTCCTCCCGGTGCCGCTGGATCCGCTCAACGCGCTTCTGATGCCGATACTGGGACACCGACATGCCGGAGTCCACGCCAAAGAAGGTGCCATCCACATCCGGCGCATGGGTAGGATGCACCACCGGGGCCGGGGCCGTGTCGCCGGACGAGGCGGATTTGGCGGCCGCCGCCGCCGCCGCTGCCGCCGCATTCGCATCCGCATGCGCCTGTAGACGATCACCCAGGGCCTTCAGCACCGGCCGATTGGACTCATCAGCCACCAGCTTCATGATTGCCCGGTTGCGATCCATGCGCTTGTAGAAGACCGTCACCGGGGTGCCAGGGGCCAGGGCATTTAGCAGGGAAATCTTGATTGGGGACATCTCGGACGCCTGATCAATGATACCGTCATTGGTCAGGGCATGGGTCAAACTATCGCCCTCGGGAACCAGGAAGTCACCAGAGTGCACAAAGCCACTGGTGGAGAAGGGCGGAAGCAGCTCGATCATGATGCCAAAGTCCAACGACTGGATCACCTTGGCCGGGTATGGCTGGTTCTCCACCAGTCGACCCATCTTTTCAAGGAGAACGGTGGTGGCAGCCTGTCTCGGGAACCAGGAAGTCACCAGAGTGCACAAAGCCACTGGTGGAGAAGGGCGGAAGCAGCTCGATCATGATGCCAAAGTCCAACGACTGGATCACCTTGGCCGGGTATGGCTGGTTCTCCACCAGTCGACCCATCTTTTCAAGGAG